TAAATTTTGTCGTATTTGATTTTTTAAACACGTGGTATACTCTATACTTCACATCAAAAAAACATTCTGTAACTTTGGTCACAAAAGCAACACACAAATCAAATAGCTCTACAGACCTTTTTGTATAGGAAATACAATCCATTTAACTTGTTATACTCCTGATGATTTCTCATCTTAATATGGTTAGAGAGACGTGAAACATATGTTTGTAATTACTTTGTAACCCATTTCAGTTTTGTTTATTTTTAAAAGCATTTCAAACTTTGATGAGTCACTAGAGTTTTGCTTTCATTGGTTCTTCATGCACATTTATAATAAAAAATATTTGATCAGGGAAAGGTTTGAAGATAATATAAATAATTATTTTATAGAAGTGCAAACTGAAAAGTAAAAATATTAATGTTTTGCTTTATGTTTATATCACTATATCCACTATATCGTAAGCAAAGAAAAATATGTCAAAACCATTATTATTAAAAAGATAAAATGTATAAACATACTGACTTTTTCTGTAGGGAAAAGAGGCTCAAGAAAATCATCCTGATATGTACAGAGTTACAAAAAAAAAGCCTTCTTTCTTTTTACACAGAGATGATGAAAATGACATTCTTGAAATAGCAGTACAAGGTTTTATGCATGTTCTGGGAATTGAGGTATGTGTGCTAATGTTAATTAGTATTATTTAAATGTATGGTTTTGTCATTATCTGGACATTTTGGTGTATGGTGAAAATTGAATAGTGTTTAAAGATATTTTAAAAAATTGTGGCAATTCCAGTATTTTTGCAGTAGTTTCCCAAAATTGGTGCTGATTATTTTCAGTTGATTATGTTATATTACTATGTTCCAGAAACATTTTAATTTTAAAGATTGTATCTCCCCCCTCCATGAGTTAACTCCTCTAGCTCTTTTTTTGTTATAATCAAATGTGGTTGTTAAAAAATGTTCCTAGAAATTTCAAAATTTTCTATGCTCAGAAAAGTTTGCTAATCTTGTCAGCTATATCCAGCTAGTCCAACTGCAGTGGAAATTTGCTGCAAGCTTTCTTATTTTTTTCTACTGTTTAATGGTACTATTAAAGTATTGTTTTCTTGTCACTTGTGTATAATATTAAAATAATAAATAGCACTCAACATTAAAATAGATACACTATTAAAAACATTTTTAATTCTGGAAAACATTTTGGAGGCCATAGATTGGCCTGCATTAAAAATGTTTTTAATTGTGTATCTATTTTAAAGTCGTGTCATTTATTATTTTAACAGTATTATTATTTATTTTTAATATATTTTTGCCTTCACAATTGGTAAGGTTTAGAGTTATTGGTCAAAAATAGAAAATTATATTGTTCAGTTTTTTTTTTATTTATTATTATTATTTATCATGATTGAAATTGGTAAAGGAGAAAACTTTTATTTTTTAATGATGTAATTAGTTAAGAACTAAGAAAGTATGTATTAAAATTATGATTATGTTCATTTCTGTTGTTTTATATATGTTTATATTTTCTTCTTTTGATATACTAGTAACTTACTGTTTAACACACAGGTGCATGCAAAGTTTGCTTGAGATCAGTAGAATAGCATGGGGAGCATATAGAGGCCTCATGGATTCATGTGAGGGAGGGCCAGATCCAAAGGTTGACTATTTCAATTCTGGGCAGGAGGGGGCCCAAATTACATTCAAGTTTGGGGACAGTTGGTTCAATTGTTTGCCAGTTATAAGCAGATGAACAGATACTTTTGTTAAATAATTGTTTATGCTATATATATAATTTAGGGTGGTCCTCAAAATCAAATGTTTGAATTTCCTTCATGGTGCCCCATAATCTTTTTACAATCTACAATATAACATTGCATGTAAAATTTCATCTTCATTGGACAACATTTAGAGATCACTCAACTCTGTTATTTATATTGCTATGTAAGTCTGTAGGGTCATGGTAAACAGAAATATATAAAATCATTCTGAAATGCACTGAAATTTTATTCACTCTAAGCATAAGGTAAATACAAATAACAGGTCATTAGAAATATTAAACAAGTTAATTTTTTTTTAAAATTGGATATACAATTTAGTTTTAGAAAACTTTCATTGAACTATCTCCAACTAGTTTCATTGTTTTAGCATCTGGAAATTTCTTCTGGTGTTCTGCAAAAACTTGCAACAGGTATTGCTTTTGCTTTTCATTTTTGGTGGTGGAGCAGTTGAAATCTTGTACAAGCTTAACTCCTCTCTCTCAGATGAATCGTTTGTTACCTTGAGGTTTTTGGCAAACTGTTAGGCATGTTGAAATTCTTCATTTTGTTTCCAATAATTTGGGTCAACCAATGTCAGGAAATTACAAAGAATGACTAGAATATCAAAGAACTTTAAAGTATTGGCTGTCACAAAATCTTCCTAGTTTATTTTTTCAACATCTCTAGTCTAGTTCCACTCGATAGCGTCGTTTGTCATTTACTCGTTTTCCTAGACTTACACCATTCTCTTCTTTATTCTGTTGTCTATGTTGGCATCAAAGAAGGTACCATAAATTCCTGCAGAAAGCTACTGTAGCAGCTTGTGAAATTCTATCATTTATGGTGCTGTATTTCACAAGATACTTAACAAAATTGAGATCATTTGCTGGAGCTGCAGTTAACTTCGTACTTGAAATCAAAGCCCTTGTGTAGGGCAAAGAGGCAAACATGCTGAGATCTCTGAGTGACCTCTCTTCTTTTTCAGTCAGTTGAAATTGACTTTTGAAGATCCATACTTTCATGGAATAAAGAATCTCGACCATCCACCTGGTCCAGTGCATTGCTCTGGAGTCATGAATAGAATGCCATGTGGTGGCTTGTTACCAAGAAAAATGATCATTAGTTCCAACAATTCTCAATAGTCATCTCTTGGCTTTTGACTAGACAAAAGCTCCTTCTTGGCAAACTTAAGAATTTTCAGTCTGAGTGTGTTATGAGTTTTAAATATTTCAGAATATATGTGGTCACTCATGGCAGTATCTTAGCATTTCTGATCAACGCTGGACCACTTATGATGGAATCATTTGAAAAGATCAATTTCTCGGCCTCCTGATGCTCCTAGACAGTGCATGAATACATCTTTTCAATTACTTCATATACATGATGCCAACATGCAAGATGAAGGAGATCTTTTCCAAGTTCAATTTTGATTAAATGGCAAGCACCAGCCAGATGACCAGTATTAGAAGCCATTGTATTGAAACTCATTGCCTTGACCTTGTCATGAATGTCCCAATCACTTAATGTTTTCATGACAGCTTCACTTGCTGCTTTTCCAGATCCATTGTGCAACTTTGGCACTTCAAGCAGCTGATCGACTTTATACCCTTACACTAAAACTGCCATCCTGTCTACTGAGGTCTGGCATGGCCAGGTGGTTAGGGTGCTTGACTCGCAATCTGTGGGTCACGGGTTCAAATCCCCATCCCACCAAACATGCTCGCCCTTTTAGCCATGGGGGCATTATAATGTGACGATCAATCCCACTATTCATTGGTAAAAGACTGGCCCAAGAGTTGGTGGTGAGTGGTGATGACTAGCTGCCTTCCCTCTAGTCTTACACTGCTAAATTAGGGATGGCTAGTTCAGATAGCCCTCATGTAGCTTTGCGTCAAATCCATAACAAACAAACCTGTCTACTGATTTTTGCCTGGTGATGTCTGGCAATATTTTACTATCCCAGAGTACAGTTAATGGCACATTTGAATGGTTGAATTCATCTTTGACATTATAAGCCACTTCTCTTCAGTTAACAATTCTGCTTCTTCTGATTCATGACCTATTTATTATAAAGTCTGATACATCATGCTCTATACTTTGTGCTGTTGCTGCCAGCAAATATGTTGTGTCTCAGTCATTGATATTGATGTGATCCAGACCTGATGCAAAATCTGGTGAAATGTTGTGGAGCCTTCGTTTTTTTTTTTTACTGTGTCAACATTTTTGAGTTCAAGGGGTTCATTACTCTCCTCTTCATAGGTCCCTTCAGATGAGGACATAAATTCAGTTGAGGCATATCAACCAATTTTTTTTTTGCATTTCTTCACGATGACATCTTTCTTCTTCATACGTTTTCTTTTTTTTGTCAGTTTATGATCTACACCAGCCATTTATCCCTTTCTTTCAGCACATTGATCAATCAAAAATAAACGATCATCTTCTATCCTAATAAGTTGCATAGCATTAGCATGAGCAATGTCAAAAAAGACTGTCAAGTTTCTCTTGAAAAGCACTTTCATTTTTAATCTGAGTTGTAGTCTTTCATTTTGAGTTTTTATTTTATTCCATGAGTTAAATATTTTCTCTAACTTTTCAATGGCATTGTGCTCTATAGTTGTTGGTATACAAGCCATATCCCATAGCTGAATTAATTCCCTGATGCTACATCCTGCACTATCCCTGATACTCATCTTCAGCGTCATATGTTTATGAAAGAATACAGACAAAACATGGCAACATGTGGGCAGTTTCCTGCCTGTTATTTTTTTCATTAGTTGGTCCCATAAACAAGATCTTGGTACACTTTCATGTTTAAATTGTACATGATGATGAATCAATATTTTCAGAATCCTCCATATTAAAGGAAATGATTGAAATAAGTAAGCAACTTCACAAAACAATGCCACAACAAAATCTAAAACCCTTGCACATGCACTTGTCTTTGTGCTGCTAGTCAAAAAGAGAACATTGTGAATTTATTACTATATTATCTATTCTTTTTCATTTACATTATACATATATTCATGTTCTAAGAAGTTAATAACAGCAGTAGTAAGCTCACAAAAGTTTTATTGGCTTGAGCGACCCTTAAATGTTATTAATCTAATTCAAATTTGATGTAAATTATCTTTAAAGTATTTCAAACAAAATTAGAGGGTACCATATCAAATTTGGTGAGTTTCAATTTTTACTGATAATTTGGGGACCACCCTAATATATATATTTTTATTTTATTTATCTGTAGGCCACTTAATATTCAGTTATCACTCCTCTGATGTCTTCAATGTCAATTTTCACTCTGAGAACACTTGAGATAAATTTAAAAAGAAACAATGAACGTATAAAAAGTTGAGAAAACAAAACTGACATATATTTCTCTCTCAATAACTTAAATACACAAAAAAATGTAAACATTAAAGTGCCATTGTTCAACGTTATTACTTTATTATAGCCTTAAAAAGTCTTAAGTGCTCAACCACTTTCACCTTCATTCTATTACTATTGTATTATTTTTGTAGGAGCATATATGAGTGAATTGCTGGCATATGCTATTCAAGAATACACTGGTTGGCATTTAGGGACTACTCCACAACTTGTCTTAGGCCATACTGTGCCACTGTAGTGATGTGATTGTTTTGATATTATCGATGTGTTTTGACCTTTACAATGAACTAGGTTCATTGTTTATTACAAAACAAGTTTAGAACATTAATATTATTATTATTGTACTTGTGTTTAATGAAACTGTGATTTTATTATTTGTATTGTACTTGCAACTAAAAGTATTTTCAGACAATTTACAATTTTTGTAATAATAAATAATCAATAAAATAAGAATGTCTTATTTCCGCCAATAATGAATTACACTAAATTTTGCTTTAAAATATCCCCACCAACAATAAAATAGATGAGCCACTACTGGATGTCTTACTGGTTAACCCTCTCGCTATGGGTAGGTCATCTTGCATGTCATGACTTTTTAGAGACTTAAATTCAAACTTTAATTAAACTACTTTATTATCGTGGTATATGAATTAACTTGGCATTAAAAAGTAGCTAATAATCCATATGTTGATAGCATATAAGTTTTCAATTCTTAATTTTTATAAGGAAATATTTTTAAAAAATCCTCAATCTCACCCTAGTATAAGAATTTTGACATTTTCTCTCTAGGCATCCCCTCTTCTCTGATTTATTTACCATCCCTCAAAGAGGTGTGAAATTTAACGTAAATTATTCGTTATAATATTGTTATTACTCAGGCAAAACATACTTGTTGTAGCTTTCAATCTTATTGGTTACAGAGCCATAATATAGAAAACCGTACCCCTCTTGCCATGCCTACTTGTCACATCCTCTCTTTCACAAATTGTCAGTAGTTCTCATTGAGATTTAATACTGTATTATTTATAACCAATAGAAAGCCAAAGTTTTAATCTATCAAATGATGTATTACACTATGTTGTTTTTTGTACAGAGAATTGTCTATTTTGCTAACAATTTAAATTGTATTTCTACTGGAAACATACTGATGAGATTAGCTGAATTTTAATGGCTCTTATCACATTGTTAGAAAGCCAGAAAAAAGTGTGATAGTTATAGGATATTGTTTGCTTTTTATGTGCTATTATTCAATGTTCTTAGTTGCATTATTTAATTAAATAAACAATTATTTAGTGTAGTAGTACCATTAGTATAAAAAAAAGTAGGGTAAAGTTTCATCAACAGTCGACAGCAAAAAAAGAAGACTATTATATTTCTTGTTTTTTATGTGTATTCTTTATCTATTATTATAAAAGTAACTGAAATTCATACATTATAAACTTATTATTTTAGATAAGGTTAGATTAGGTAAGATAAAGAAAAATAAAAGTAGTTAATTTTCATGTGGTATACTCACAAGTAACTCGTGTTTTACATAATTCGATAGGGTAACAAGAGCTACAAGTTTGCCAAGTGATTTACAACTTGTATGTTGAAGTTATTTGGTAGACAGTACTCAAAGGGCAAATAAAACAAATTTAAGTAGAAACAGAAGTATACTGTTACTAGCTTTATGCTATTTAGGAAAAACAAGTCCAATTGAAGTCATTCTAGAAAGAAAAGAAGAAGAATTTAGATTTAATTCAATTTTGTTATGGTGGTTATGAGGTTGGTGAATTTGAGTGACACTATAGAGTTAAGGTAGAGAAAATATCAGATAAAATATAATGTTTCATTGAAAAAAAAACACGATTGAAATCTATTTAAGAGATTTTATAGATTATGCAAATGAAATATGACAATTTCTAGATGAAGAAACGTATTTTTAATCTTAACATAAAACCCCTTTGCACTTGGAAATTTACACTTTGACTCCATTTCTAGTAAAAATACTTCATTAGAAATTCTGATTTTGTGTCTATAAAAGGCTTGTAGTGCTTACTGAAAACTTGCAAAATTTTGTGAAGATAGACAAGGCATATTAAAAGTTATTGTATGGAAACTCTCAATGGACCGAGCCCATAGCGAGGGAGTTAATATGAAATATCATCATGTGTCAAAGCAAAACATTATTTTTTTTTTTTTGCAGTTATTGAAAACTATTTTCAGATATTAATTTAATGTAAAATTGGCTAGTTTAGAGGATGAATTGCACTTAATATAAATTATTTGCATGTGCTATTGCAGTGATATGTTAGCATCATCACCGATACAAGTTGTGACACCACAGGCAGAATCTTTGGTGACTTTACATTTGATTCACAGTGAATTCTTGATCATTCAGTAATGTAATGTTACAATTTATAGACATGTAGAATTTTATGAATAGATTTTTTTTATAAAGTGAGGCTGACATATCTTTTCAAAAAAAAAGTCTTCAGTGTTCTTTGTGTAAGCAGAAGTTGCATGGCCTGTATATTTGATTCACGATGAATTCTTGACCATTTGTTAGTGCAATGCCACTATTCATAGACTTATAGCTGAAGAGATGTAATAAAACCTATTGAAAAAAAAATTATATCTAAAGCAAGGCTGTTAAACAGTGTATAGTAAAGAAGAGGGCCTACAGTGTTCTCCATGGAAGCAGAAGATGTGTGGCAGAGCACTTGGAAACTACTCTTTAAACCAATTTTTAGAGCAACACCTTCATTTGAAAAGTGAAGTTTATGGTTACAAAAGAGAATTATGTGATCAAAAAAAATATCGTAGTGATAAAGTTTCATTTGTTTGATTATGAAGATAAATGAATTTGAAATCGACTGTGTTTTCAAGAAAATGATGGGTAAAAATATGGGATTGCTGCAGTCCCATTAGATCACATATGTGTAAAGTCCTTCAGTGCATTTTCAGTTGACTTTTGTGTTTTTGATCTGATAAAATGTTGCCTTGGAATATGATCTGCACAGATAGTAGAGGACTTGTGGAAAGTTTTCAAAAATTTGTGGATTAAGATTGACCTTTATTCTTTGCAGAAGCTTGCTACATGTACCAGTGAATAATATAAAATCCTGTCATCTCTCTTAATGACTGATGATGAGTGTAGCATAGGACTTTGAGCATTGCTCTTGAAAAGGGTGATTAATCCCATATTTTCAACAATAAACTGATAGAATGATTTTAAGTTGTAGGGATGATTTTTACCTCATCATTAGATAAGGGTTTTCAACAATTTTTGAGCCAATACTTTTATGTTCTTTGATGTATACTAATTTAGAAATTACTATTTTTAATCTGTTATCAGGATGAATCTCTATTCAAAGGGAGAGTAAGTGTGAAGGAGGTTCCAGCTGGTGTATGTGTACTAAAGGAAGGATGCCAAGAAGATACAGCACTGTTTTATGTAATTTGTGGAGGACTTGTAGTTACACAAAAATCAGTGGATAAAGATGAGCAGGTTGGTTGTATTATTTAATTATAGTTTTTTGTAGTTTTCATTGAGTAACATTCAAAGAGAAATAGGATATTCTTTAAAAAGTTTATGTATTTTGTAATTTTTTGTTATTAGTATGTTAATAGTGACATGTGGCAGTTCTACAAAGCCATTTATTTGGTCACTTCGGGGGTGGAAGACGCACACATATACTTTCACATCAAGTAAAACAAGGTTAATTTTATCTTAATGTTTTAAATATTTATGATATAACCTCCATACACATAATAAATAAAACTGATTTTATTGTGAATGTTGATTTTACATACTACATACAGATACTAGAACTTTGTAAGCTGAGTCTGATTGGTATGTTTAAAATAGTTGCTCTATTCTGAGGAAGTAATAGTACCAACAAAGATGATGTTTTCATGCTCTAAAGGTGTTGTATTTATTTGACTTTATTTTTCATTTTATGTTAAATAAATATAAAACAATAAATTTCCCTGTATCTTAAAACTACACATTGTTCATAAGTAAACATGGACCTAAAGATAATAAACAAACAGGATATGTTTCAACTCAAATTGCTCAATTTTGATGCCATTACTATCATTTGAAAACATGCATTGACATTGTAGATCATGGTATTTTTGTTAAAAACTTGGTGAAGCAGTAAGAATGCTGTACTACAGCATAGTGTCAGAGAATATGACCTTACCTTTCAATTAAGTTTTTCCTTTCTTCCTGTAGACCAGTAGGACCTCGATTAATGGGCACTGTGCCATTAAGGGCAGACCTTTTCGGTCTTTTTCTTTTCTTTTACTAATTGAAACCAAAATAAATCTTGCAATAATGGACACTTCTATATTCCAGATTAAAGGCAGTGTCTTTAGTCTCATAAAGTGATAAAGTGAGCAGTTATCTTTGTATGCCTGTACAGTATACCTCTAAATTCCAAACATCCCAGAAGAATGACCAATATTCAAACATTTGTGAAGTTTATTGAATTGTCTCCAAACCATATACAGTAATAAACATTTTCACAGATTTAACATGCAATCTCATTACTCTGGGGAATTCTCATTGTAAACACTGTAGGATACATAAGCTGATAAATTCCACATTGTGTTCTCAGAGCAGAGGTCAAATGAGCTTATTTCTGTTGATGTGCTTTGTTGCTCTCGAGAGTTTCGAATTACGGTGTCACATAAACAATCTGATGACACAAGCAGTGATTTATTGCTTTATTTTCAATGAATTTCTACTTCAGTCGTCGACAGTAAAATAAACAGAAAATAAATGTGAAATGTTTAGCAGTTAAAACTAGGAAGAGAAGTACTTTGAAACTTTGTGACCAATAATAAAGAAAAAAGGGTACAGCTAATCAACCCCCTGAAACTTCCTGTTGACAACACTTCATGTCATGGCAATGTGCAACTCATGAACACCTGTGTCTGTCCTGCATACACCAAACAAAAATGGGGGCCTTAAAATTCAGAAATTTAGTATGGTCAATATGGAATCCAGGTTTTCATGGCTCATTTTTGATATTAAGGGCACCTTGTTATAGAGAGCATTTGGATGCAGTTGGAAGGATGCCTTTAATGTCGAGGTTCTACTATAGTGGCCTCACGTTCATGTAATTTGATTTTTAATTGGATCACTGTAAACAGCAAGTATTTAGAAACCACAGGTATTTACACACACTTTATTAGCAGGCCTCAGAACTAATCAAAGCCATTATTTTGAATTTTCAGGTTCTAAAAAAATTTAAAGAATATAAACAATTCATTGTTCTTAATCCTTAAAGTTTGTCATTGTTTGGATAAAGAAAAAACAACTTCAGGTAAGTGGTGCTTGTCTAAATGCGTAAGTAAAAGTTTTTGAATTTATAACACCCCGTAAGGTCAATAATTATTAATACTTTAGGAATTTATAATAGTTAATCTAGGTAAGTAAATAGAACTTAATTCATTAGCAATAAGTAGTTCGTGTTTTGTATTATACACTTTGTGTTTTAAAATAATCTGATGATTGTGAATTTAAAGGTTTATGTGTCTAAAACGTAGTTTGATGTTTGAATTATAGTTATGTAGTTAAACCAATACTTTTATTCCCCTAGAGCACACTACACATTGCTCACTCAGGTGAAGTTGTTGGAGGTATGGCTGTTATCACTGGTGAACCCTCTTTGTTTTCAATAACTACCAGACCTCACAGCAAAATTGGAGTTATCAGTGCTAAGAACACATATGAGTGAGTATTTAATATTTTCTAGCAATCAGATTCTGAAAGTATTAATACACACACACACACGTATATTCTACTATGTAACTGCATTAATGTATCCAGTGACTTTTAAATATCATAATTAAGTATCTAAGCATAATGTCTATCTTGTTTCTGTAAGAATAATAATAATAATCATGAATATAAAGAGTACAGTATATACATTAATATGTTTTACCATATTATTTTAGACTTATTATTTTTGAGTCGGAGTAATTTTTCTACTTTTGATACAAAATTCTGATACATATGTATATATTATAAAACTTGTGCTCTGTATTTAAGGTATACCTATACAGTATCAACCAGATTCTTTAAAATACATATGGTGGTAGTTTTTCCTCTCTAAAACAGTGTTAATAACTTCCTTTATAGTAACACCATGGAATCTAGATTAACAGTTTCTTGTCATCACCCATATGTACTTAGTACAGCCATATAAAGCATCATTATTTACACTAATTGCTTAAGCTAATATCATGTGGCACTAAACACTCTTTAATCAGGATAATTTCATAAAGTTTAGGAAATCTGTGCTTAGAAGTTGAAAATGAATAATAACTGTGCACCTGAAAGATTTTTTTCAATAAATTGAACTAGAAACTGCTAATTTAGTTTACTTGGCTTAACCAATACTTATGTATCTACATGTGCTTTCAACCTATAGTTTAGCTGCTCTAATTAGCCGTCTGCAGTCTGATTGATGAAAAATTTAAGATGGCGCACTTTTACTTGAAGGTGAAGCTGTAGTAAAAATTGTTTCCAAAAATGGACAAAGGTGTCCGGGCCACTGTGTTTGATTCAGTAAATATAGCAATATCTCAGCAAATAAAAAGGAGGTTCTTATTTTATATTCTAGCTTGTCAAAATCGGTAATTTGAGTTCCTAATTTGTAAGGAACTACAGACTTTGTATTTGGACATCACAAACATCTAATTGGAACCAATGCTGCATTCACCATACCCACATGACATACGAAAATCAATATTTAGGAATTTTTTAAAATATTTACTTTTAAATTAAATAATTAACTAATTTATAATACTAAAATTGGAATTATAATCTACAATTTAATATCAAACTTATTCACATACATTCATAAAATTGTAGTTGAATAAAATTTTGAATGTGAGTCTACAAATGCAATGACATGGCCTTTGACCTGTGACCATAGGAAGACCCGTAGAGATAGGGTTAATAACACACAGTGTGTCCTGTAGGTTGTTTTGGCCACATGACACAATACCATGTGTCTTGATATACTTAGTTCCAAGAAGTTATCTTAAAGTTAGTTGTGGCTTGACAAATGTGATTGCTGATTGGTTTGATTGCTTTTGAATGAGAAAAACTATATATTTTGTTTTTTCTAGTACAAATTAAACTTTGAAAAACAAGAATTAAGAAGGTGAGCAATTGTTATAACAGACTGCCTGTTGCACCTGTAACTAACAGGGGAGTGTAAAAGCTAGTATTTCGTGATTTTAGACAAATGTCAAAAGTGACATGGTGTAAGTGCTGAGATCTAAATGCATTCGATGAAAGCATGCCTCTCAAGCCAGGAGGAGATAAATTTTAAATACTTTAACCAGCCTGTTGTCATTTAAAATTGTCATTCCTGTTTCTTTTTTTCAAGGTTGGAAAGTTTATCATTACATGTGCAATAAAGGTACAATTAGGAGCATTTTTTAATAAGACCAATTAAAAAAAAATCTTTCAACAACCGGTTTGAAATAAAACTTTAAAATGCTGTCACTTTATTTGACCTAGCTCAAAATGTGTGTAGTGATAGCAAAAGTCTTTGAACTTATTGCTGTAGTGAATGATGAATTTAGGCAAGGAACCTCAGCAATTTGTTTGTCTCTCACAACAGTTACATAATGTTATATATCGATCATGTACTAGCCACAAGGTCAGTCCCCATTTTTATGTTTCACTCATACAAATAAAAAATGGAAAAGATATTGTGATTTTTTTTCTTTTGAATGGCACATTTATTGATAACTTCAACCATTTCAAATTTAATCAAACTTCAAAGTACATTCTCTGTAATCACTACAATTTATAAGGCTAAACTGTCAACAATACTACACAATGACATCATCAACTTTACTGTACATAATTGGAATTGGGCTGATTGTGTGCTATAATTATCGGCAATCAGTGATTTCCAATTGTGACATGATCAGTAAAACAGTAAAATTATGTTGCTATTTTTTTATTTTTGGCTAGTGCAGTCTGCAAAGTTGGATTCAAAAGTGTTTGCCCTAATGTGTACATACAATGTACATGCAGTAATGTAAATTTTCCAAACAATTTACAAGTTTACAATTTTTACTTGCCTGTTTTTTGAAGGTATTGACAAAAAATAACTTGTGTATATCTTTCAAATGTGTGAACCTTGATGCAGGCTTGGTGTCATATATAAAAAGTTAAAAAATAGCATTGTGATTAAAAACAGTAGTCACCTTTATAACAAGTT